CATCTGGTCTGTTCCTGTTTGGCTGTGACTCCATCCTGGAGAGAAATATCAGCTGTGCTGCTGCCATCAACACCTTTGTTTCTAGATGTTGGAGCTTGGCCTGTTTTCCAGTGTAGTCCTGTTTCTCTGACTGTGACTAACTGGATGTGCTCTCTTCATCCTCTGACATGGGAGCTGGCTCGGAGCTCGTCTGCCTGGCTGTGTGTTTCCTGGACGGGGCCGCCTGTGGAGCTGGTTGACAGTTGCCTTTTGTATCTATGCTTCTTTTTCTATGTCTGCTTCTGTCTCCTTGAACCCCAGTGGGCCTCAGCAGATGGCCGCTCACACTGAGCCTGGTTCTGCTGGAGGTTTCTTCCTGTTCAAAGGGAGTTTTTCCTCTCCACTGTCGCTACAAGCATGCTTAGTGTGAGGGATTGCTGAAGAGTCAATGAGTCGATGCAATCAGCTGGTTTTCCTTAGATAGAAAACTTTGAATCAATCTGACTGGATGATCTGGTGAACTGGAAAGTGACCTGAGATGACATGATGTGAGTTGGAGCTATAGAAATACACTGAATAGAATTGAATTGTTACTATATAGGGGGGAAAATGGCCGCTCTCAGACTCAGTGATCGCAACAAAAATTATAATTTTTATTTTTTACTGATTAAGACAAAATTTATGAAAGCACAGCAATTATATTAGGTATTGGTATAAATGATGCTTCATTGGTTATTCCTTGCTGACTTTTCCTTAAAACTTTAGAGATTTTTGTGGTTTTAAAAATCTGAGAAGGTATAAATATTCCTAAATCCTCAACATCTGAACAGGCTGGAAACGGCAAGCAGAGCAAAACTCCTAAAAGTTAACAAAAACTGTGTTTTATATAATTTAAGAAGTGGATGAAAACATTAGTAGATACAACATGCAGGAATATATAAATGTATTCTAGCCTTCCTACCAGCGTCTAATAATGAAGGAAGTGCTGTTCTGTTGCAGCGGCTGCAGGCAGACAGGCTGAATGCCATCAAAACAGATGTTCGTGTTTAGCAGAGCGTGCAGTGGAACCAGTTAACAATCCTCCAACAGAACCAGGGACCAGTCTGTCACAGCTTCCTGTCATTTTTCACACAAGATCTTCTAAAAATAAAACATTTTCTATGCTTTTTCCATCAGGAGTGTTTTGTTTTATTTCATTAGAGGAGCGTATTCTACACATGTTGGAAACTTGCTTCCTTTATCAGATATTTAAATGATGTCCAACTTCTAAATTGAATGTTTAAAATAAATAAATAAATTGAATGTTTAATATATGTACATAATAAAGTTGTTTATTTCAATATCTGGTTTGATGTTTAATAAAGACAATAATGGAAAGTGCAATCCTAAAGCACTGAGACAACAGCTCATTTATATTTATTACTCTATGCTTATTAACATTCCTAATTGCTATTTTATAGAAAGCCGTTTATTGACTCCTCATTTATTTTAAGCTTCATTATCCTACATTAACATGATCAGTTGCTGTAATGTAGACTCAGCTCTGTGCATCAAAATAATAACATGACATAATATTCAAATTTACTGTCTGATGGTATTGTTGTTAAAATTCTTGATATTTAAGCATAGATTGATCTTTTTGGAGATTTTAAAACACCATAAGGCAAATATTGTAATCTATTTAAGTAATGTTAAAAGGGATTATTTTAGTTAGATGTAAAATATGTTTTTTATGTTAGAAAAATGTTGGTCTTGCATGTTTGATTCACTGAAGTCTAGTTCCTTTATACCAATAAATATTGAAAAAGAGCTGAATAATAATTATAATGATTCCCTTTCATTCTTAAATGACTCAGATCATTTTTAAAACATGTTTTAAAGATAAGCCCTGCTTTCTAATAAAGGTAAATCAAACATATATTATCTGGATGCACAGGGTCTGCTGGGTCTCCCGTTTTGTTGATTATTTTAAGCAGTCGATCGTTTAGGAACATTATTTCCTTCTAAATTAATGAAATGCTTCTTTGGCTTTAAGGAGGTGAAAGCCTGCAGCTCATGATTGATGACATAAAAACTGTGATTACTACGACCAAAGTTATAGCAGTGAGCAATATAGTGAGAAGATGAAGCAGTCCCTATTTATACAGTTAATCAGATATAAAATGCATTTTTTTGCAATTTGATCCTTTTTTTATAATATTTTGGGAAAAGTGTCAAAACAAAACATTATTAAATCTAAAGAGGAGGATCTTTTATTTCCGGGTGGATCGTCTCAATCAGTGGTCCTCCTACCTGTCAATCATTCTGATGATTTGTTTACGTGAGGCCGTCCTTCGTGCTCGTCCCGTTAGCGATCTTTTTCTGCGCACTTTCAGGCGTATATCTGTGGAGAGCTACGGTTTCAGACAGTCATTGAAGCTCACCTTTCTCACAGCCGTTCTTTGAAAATGGCCGAGGGCCAGAGGAGAAAAAGTGTCTACGAAGTGTTTGAGAAGAAGAGAAAGGAAGAGGCAGATATATCAGATTTACTGTCACAGTGGCTGCCGCCTGTCGCCATAGGCTGTCGCTACCCGACAGCAGCGACTAACAAAGATGGCGCAGACACCGCGCAGTGGAGGAGGAGTTAGTGACCAATGGAGCAAAAAGCAGTGATCATCTGTCTGAACAGTCAGTTAACTGAGTTCACTATAAAGTTCACTATAGAGTCCCCGCTCTATAGTGATGGAGGGATTTAGGGGTTAAGGTGGACGGACACAGTTAGCTGCTATGAGCTACGAGAACAGCTACTTTTAACCAGAGCGTGCACGAGGAGGAATGGGCTGGTGCACGCTTTGCTCGCTTTTAATAGGCATTTCCTCTCAGAAGCAGGTACAGGGTTGTGCATGTGCATTTTTTTTTTCTAAGAATTTGCCAAAATCCTCCAAAATACCTTTAAAGAAATCAAACAATTTGTTAAAACGACCCTCCTGCTATGTTACCCTTGAAAACAAGCTTTAGTTTTAATTTTTCTGAGCAAAAATAAGTGCAGAAGGTTTGACCTTAGCGCCAATCCAAAAAAAAAAGTAAGAATATTACTGTTTGAATGTAATGATTGTTTCCTAGGCTGTTATAGGTTCATTATAGAAGTGCAGCTGAACGCTAAAACCTACACAGGTAAGAAACCTTTACAAGCACCGCAGGTCTGCCTGTGAGCATCAGCTCTGGAAAAACACATATTAGAAAATCTGTCTGAACACTAACAAGATTAAAAGAAAAAATACTTTTGTGAGCAAAACTATTATTATGAAAAGAATCTTGGAAAATAGCAGCTGGATAGCTCAACTGGTAGGTTACCAGACATTCACACAGGAGGCCTGGGTTTGAATCCCCGCTGGGGGGGAATGAGCTGCCAAGACTCTTCATGTTAATGTCTGCTTGGTAGTGGTCTGCTAAATGCATTAACATACATGGATAGATTCAACAAAAGGTTGAATGGGAGAACTACTGACTCTGTATCTATCATCAGTTTCTCAGTTTGTAAAGAAATGTGGGCATTGAGGGTTGGAATCTATCCAACATGTAAAATACATAATTTGCAGGCAGTGTGCTAATTTGACACTTCAAATTTATTATCCTATTAATATAATACATCCAGCCAGTTACTAGTATACTGCACACAAAAAATCATATTTTTATCATAAACACTATAGTGGAGGATTTTTGTTAATTTTTGAAAAGACCCGCCCTCTCCACTTTAAAAAAAAATGCACATATACAACCCTGTACCCGCTCCTGAGAGGGACCCCCTATGAGAGCGTGCACGAGTCCCTCTCTCCTCGTGCACGCTCTGTTGCTGTTTGCATCGCTCATACAAGAGTCTCTCCTGACTCTTAATAGATGTTTACCAAAAGCTACGATAGGAGACCCTTTAAGACCCTGAAACAGAGACTAGTTCATCCTAAAGACCTAATCTGAGCGGAGTGTCTGCACTTCAATGCAGTGAGCAAACCAACCAACCTCTCCACAGACGCATGGCCCAACACAGAAGAGCGCC